TGGTCCACCCCCTCCACTTCTGTCCACAAATCCTGTTGTTCTCCACTTTCCACGGCTTGTCAGCTCCATCACCCCCACTGCCACCCGGCCACCTCTGAGAGCAAGCCCTCCTCTTGGATGGACAGTCCACACACCCTACTTATGCTCTGCCCTATATAGCCCTTGTTAACACAGCCACAGCCACCCTGAGAGTGCCTTCTGCTCAGAAGCCTGCAATGGTGCCCGCCCCCACCCAGAGGGCAGGCCAGCTAGCATCCCTGACCACCTGCTCCCCACCGGCCCCCCTCACACCTCTGCTAGGCCACTGCTGCCACTGTGGCTTCCTTGCTGCCTCTGCAACAGTCCAAGCATGTGCCCTGTTAGGGACTGAATGTTTGCGTGCCCCCAGATCATCCATTGAAATCTAATTCCCAGTGCGACCATTTTGGAAGTGGAGACTTGGGGAGGTTATTAGATCAAGAGCTGTCAAGAGTGGGATTAGAGCCCCTACGGGCAAAGGCCTGAGACCTAGCCCGCTCTTTCCACCATGTGGGGACACAGCAAGAGGAGACCGCTCTGCAGACGGGAGGAGGGTCCTTGTCAGACACTGGGTTGACTGGCACCTTGGCCTTGGACATCCCAGCCTCCGGAGAAATGAATTTCTGTGTTTGGGAGGCCCCCCGGTTTGTGGTCTCTTCCAGCAGCCTGAGTTGGCCAAGACACTCCTCTTCATGGCTTTTGTACTGTTCTTTGCGGGGAACACTTTCCTTCGAGGTACCCTCGGGGCTTGATGCCTCACTTCCGTCCTGTCCTGTCCATAAGAGATCCCTCCCTTGTAACGGGAAACCCTTGACTCCACGGTCTCCTCCCACTTTGCCCTGCTTTGCTTTCCTCCAAGCATTTGTTGGTGGCCGTCTATACCTGTTTACTATCTGTCTTCCTGCCAGTTTCAGGAAGGCAGGGATTTTTGTCTGTTTTGTGGAACGAATGACTGGACTTGAACTATGATTATGGAAGGACATTTCCCCTAGAAGTGAAGGGGCTGACTCCCATGCTTCTTTCCCACCTGGACTGGGGTCCCAGGAGCTGGCTAAGCCCTGCAGTGTTGAGCAGAGAAGACCTGAAGATTCAGGGCCTGTCTGCTTCTCCCCCGTCCATCAAAGACAGGCCTCACCTCAGAGCTCCCTGTAGTAGGCTGTAGCCCTGAGTCTCAGTTTCCTCATCTGGGAAATGGGGAACACAACCTCACCCCACACAGATGGATTGGGGACCAAAGGAAAGATTGTGAGCACCCGTCAGGATGCTTGGCCGCACGCAACACAAATCAACACCAAAGAATCCAAAGGAGAATGTATTATCAGCACATGGATGTGGGGACAGGCTGCTTGCTGCCCCTTCCACCACAGCTCCTACCTGAAGTCCAGTCTGCTGTGGTCTCCCCCCTCCCCTGGTCTCCATCTCTGAAGACCTAGGCAGTGAATGGACACCACTGGGCTGGCACCACACAGCCTCGGGGATGGCTTCGCTTCCGATGCCAAGACCCAAGTTCCTGGGGAGGAATAGTGACCTGCCTGCCTTTGGTCAGGGGTCAGCCTCTGCTTGATCCCTTGTGGCCAAGGGCAGAGTTGTGGGGCTGTGAGGCCCACAGTGCAGATGGGGATGGGATCAGTGAAGGAGTTGCTCTGCACTGAGCACACCAGGTCAAGGCCAATACGTGGCAGAGACTTGATGACTGGGAGCTGTCAGCATTATTGTTGCCGGGGGTATCTGCAGGGTGATGGCTAGGGGGCCCCAGGAGAGGTAGGTGGGTGGAGCAGTTGGTGGGGGGGTTGGGGCAAGAGGGCTCCCTGGGTGTAGAGAACAGAGACAGAACCTGTGCCCAGGGTATGGGGGGAGAGGCATGGCCTGGGACACCTGTCCCCGACCAGGTAAGGGACCATGTGTGTCCTTGCCTCTCACCTGCCTGCCCAGGGCCCCTCAGGCTCAAAAGGGCGGCCCGGAGCAGAGAGCAACATCCTCCTGCCCTTGGGATGAGGACATCTATTCCACAGGGCTGACCAGAGTCCTCCCCCTGGCATTCAGGGCCTCAGAGGACACAGTTGAATCCCGTGGGAGGCTTAGGGGTGACTTTCCAGCAGTGGGTGTGTGATGACCAGACCCGGCTTTGCCTTCTTCACCTCCCGCAGCTCCTGCAGCGACTGCGCACTCAGCTTCACAGAGGTCAGACTGCGGCCATGTGTATGGACAGAAGTGGGAGTCGGTTGGGGAAGCTGAGGTCAGGGCTGGGGGGACAGTGACAGGAGAGCAGTGTGGGGGCAGTGATGGGGCTGTCAGCCTGGGCTGTGCCAAAGGCACACAGTGACAGAGGTGGTTAGTCAGGGGTGTCAGAGGTTGGGGAAAGAGGTTAGGCGGTGGGGGCCAGAGCCCTTGGGGGAGTAAAAAGGTGTTGGGATCATTGGCCCAGACTTGCCATGGGCCCCGGATGACAGATGGACATTTGGTCTGGCAAAATGGTTGAAGCCGAGGGCTGGGGCTAGGACTTTTTGGAGCATGGGTCTCCAGGGGCTGGGTTTGAGTGTGGGCACTCGGGGAGCCCCGGGAGGAGTTACTCTTCAGGGTCTAGGGGAAGTCCCCAGGCACCCAGCCCAGTCGTTGAGAGGCCGAGTCCCCATCCCCCTTTCCGCCCCTGTGTCTACCTGAGGGTCTGTAGGTGGCATCCTGACTGCTGTAGGACTCTACACAGGTAGGTCACCACGGGTTCCGGCAGCTGGCAGTCACTTAGATCCAGGGCGGTCAACGCGGAGCTCTGGCTGAGCGCGCCGATGAGGTAATGAAGCGCCTCCTGGAGTGTGGGCTGCTGCACCCTGGGGGGGACGGCCACCCTCAGAGGCTGCTGTCAACCGCCCCCCTACCGTACCGTGTCCCTCCCCCCCCCAACCCCCCCCAGGCCAGGCCCTCACCTGAGCTTCCGCACCCGGCACTGGGGCCAGGCCAGGCCCTCACTCAGCACACGCAGGCCGGCCTCACTGAGCCCGTTTTGCAGGAGGCCCAGCTCAGTCAGGGCGGGGGCCGCCCGCAGGGCCTCAGAGAGGTCTCGGCAGACAGAGTCAGACAGTTTGCAGCGGCACAGCCTGTGGTCAAGAGCACATGTGTCTGTCTTCAGTCCCCTTGGCCGCTTCACTGTCCCCACCTCTGCAAACTGCCCGCTCCTTGGGCGGCCGAGGCTCTGTCTGGAGAGGCGCTGGCTCGACAGGAAGCTTCCCCTGTCCTTTGTTACCCACCACACGTGTCCCTGGGGAGCCTTGGCCACATGTGCCTGTGCATGCTGGACTGCACTCCACTTTTCCTTAGGGCACTATTCTCTACCAGCTGTTGGATGAGCCAATGCGGATCTTACTGTCAGCGTGTTTAACTGCATGTAGCTGAGCATCGGGTTAAGGTGGCCATGGTTTATTCATCCAGCTGGTCCCTGACGATGGGGAAGTGGGTGTTGTTTCCACCTTTGTTGCCATTATAAATACTGCTGTGATGAACACCACGCGTTCAGTTTAGTGGCAGCATTGATGGGCCAAACGCGCCGATCACCTTCTTGGCTCCCAACGTTTATCTCCAGGTTGCTGGAACGTCATACCAAGCGAGGTGACCGTGTCACCGTGGCCATAGGCTGTGCCCATCTCACTGTGCCCCACCAGCACTAGCTCCTACAATTTCTCTTACCTTCTGCTTACTTGCTGATAAGGTCACATACTCAGTGTTGTGCCCCCACTGCTACATTAACTCTCATACCAACGCTCTGAGGCGGAACCTTCCATTCCATAGAGGAGGAAACGAGTTCAGACAGACTGACTCGCCCAAGGGCTCGGAGGCAGGCAGCCTGGACTTCAGAGCCTGTGCCCTCAACACCTCCCTCCGCTGCTTGTAAGAGCCCAGAGGGACTGCCCATCACTTTCCAGTAGCAACTAGTAGCCTTCCTTCGGAAGGAAAATTTATTCTGGTCTTCTTTACCTCCCCACCCCCAGAACACTCAGCAGCACCATGCTTCGCGCTCTAACGGGGCCAAACCCTCCTTCCTAGCCCCGGGCCACACCGCCTCCTCGCTCCTCCGCGCTATGTGGGCAGAGCCCATTGGCCCCAGCACAGGACGCCAGAGGCCACAGGCTCTCGGCCTGTCCCCTCTGCCGTGTCCAGACAGGGTACCCCTCTGCCCCTGCCCAGAGTACCCTGCTCTGCATCCCTCCAGGGGGGCCGTGGGGGCCTGGTCACTCACGTCAGGCTGCTCAGACCGCAGTGTTGGTCAGTCATGGCCTCAAAGAGCGAACGCAGTGGAGAGGCCTGGGTTTTTTTCATGGTGGCTTGTGAACTGCCGGGAGAGACAGCAAGGTGAAGGCCACTCGTCCCCTCGCAGTTCCCCACCTCTTTCCTGTGGCCCGGAGTGTCAGAGCTGCCTCCGCTCTCCACCTCAAGCTGCGCCAGGACCCCTCCACCCTCTTTGCTCCAAACCCAGAGGGAAACCACTCATCTGTGGCCCCATGCAGCTCCCCGCTGAAGCAGTCTGCCTGAGTCCAGTGGGGGGCATGTCACCCACATCCCATGTGAGTCTGTATTGCGCCTGCAGTGGGCGTCCCCAGCCCCGGCCCGTCAGCATCCTGACATTCGTTATCTCAACAGATGCTGAGCTCTGGGTCAAGTGCTGGGTTGGAGTTAAGTACACAGAAGACTTAGCCCTGAAGGAGCTCAGGATCTGGCGAAGGGTAGACATCGTGGCATACAGTGGTTAGTGGGGCACTTCTGGGGCCAAAGGGGTCCCAGGCCAGCTGAGGGAGGCTGGGAAAGCATTGGGGATAGGCAGCAGACAGAGTGTTCTGGGTGCACGACACAGCAGGTGCAAAAGCTCAGGGCACGGCCGGCGTGGTGTATTCCATGCTAGGAATGGATGTGGCTGGCTGGGGGTTGGCATGGCAGGACAGGCGGGGGAAGATGGACATAAGGAGCCGCCTTGCAAGGGGGTGGGCGTAACCAGCCCTGACGTCCTGCTCTCCTCTGGGGGACAGGCTTCCCCTGCTCAGACGGAGACTCGGGTGCACTGGCACACGCGCCCCCCTGCCCCCGCCCCGCCCCTTCCCCCAGGGCCTGGGAACCAGGACAGTCTTGTCCTGTAGACTCACGAGCTTCCGCCCAGGCTGCCATGCAGTCGTTTCATCAGGTTCTTCTTCTTTTTCTTCTCGTGTGCGGGGGCCAGTCCACAGCTAACCAGCCGCAGGGCCTGCCCCTCGGGGCAGCACCTTATGCAGTAGCTCAGGACCACCACATCCATGCGGCTTAAGCACACCCGCTCCAGCGCCAGCTCAGGGAGGCCACGCAGGGCCTGGCTCACAAAGGCGCCCTCCTGAGTCTCGTACAGGCAGTACAGCAGCTCCAGCACGTAGTTGAGCTCGCCCTCGTCCTCTTCCAGCTCCTCCCTGCCCTCCGGCGCTTCCGTCTCTTGGGTCCCCTCCGGTGCCGCCCTCTGGTGGCCCTGGTCCTGCACCCACCGCAGGACGTCCTGCTTCACGCGCTCTGAAACCACGCAGCCGAAGTGGCGCTCGACGTCGCGCATCCGCTCTGTGTTCAGCAGCCCGAAGAGGAAGCGCGTGGTGAGCGCGAGGTGGCCGCGCAGCTCGGCGTTGCCCCGCAGAAGCGCCCCGACGCTGTCAGCCGGTGCCCGGTCTCCCTTGTCATCCAGCAGGTAGGACAGCGCGGCGAAGAATTCCTGGAAGCTCTGGTCCATGAACTGGTAGGTGGCCTCGGTCTCCAGCACGCCCGGCAGCTCTTTCTTGCTGAGAAACAGCCTCTGGATTTTAGAGCCGCGAAGTTGCAGTCTTTCCAGGTCCTTCTCCGCGAACTGCGCCCTGTGCCCGAGGAGGCCTTCGCGGGCCAGGCGGCACAGCTTCCGCAGCTCGCCCTGCACCTGGGGCCCGTCGGCGGCGGGCGCCGAGCTCAGGAAGCTGGCGACGAAGAACAGGTACACGGACGTGGTGGTCTTGGAGGTGCGCGACAGGTCCTGGCCGAGGTCGAGCTGCTGGCGCAGAACCGTGCACACGATCCAGCACACGAAGGGCACGAAGCACAGCGTGAACAGCGTCTCGTTCTCCTTCACCGAGCGGTAGGCCTGCTCCGCCAGCCACTCCTCCCGGAAGAACTTGTGGAAGTACTTCTTCTTGTCTTTGTCGGAGAAGCCGCACACCTCGGCGCACTGCGGCGAGCACAGGCGGCTCTGCAGCCTCCCGGGGGCCGTGGCGCGGGCGGTCACCAGCAGGCGGGCCCCGGGCAGCAGCGTCTTGCCCATCAGCCCGCTCAG